AGGGGTTTGAGCAGGATGCGATATGATTTTCACACATTCGCAAACTCAGACAACAAAGGAAATTCTAAAAACAGAGGATTATGAAATTGGAAATTTATTTAACAAATGAAGCCTTAGAGAAAAATCAACATTTGAAGATAATATGGAGAAGTCACAAAACACTAAGATATATAAATAAAAATAAGGCGATAAGTTCATGAATAGCCATGGAAAATCAGGAAATATTAGATATTCTTCAAGAATGTTCATTAGGGTTTCCAATTGATTTTTTTCGAATAGCGTAGATTTATCAGGGTTTTTGTGATTTTCTTATAATGGTGTAGATTTAGCAGGTTTTTATTTCACGTTCTCTATCCCATTCTAGATTTTACCATTTTATCTTTTAAAAATGAAGCATCATGTTTTTTCATTAAATAGTTTATTTCAGTAAATATGCATTTCCTTTTAATTATTTGCTTTTTCACGGGTTCTTTTTGTTATTGGCGTGTCTAGATCTTACCCCATGCATCGATCAAACTGCTTTTGAGCTGGATGAGAAATTCGAACCACTTCTAAAGTTGAGGATACACTTATCATGTTTTATGGTTAGGAACCAAAAAAAACTTGGCCATCCATCGATAGACTATATATCACTCGATAATGCATAGGAGCACTTGCAGGCTACCTTCCTTGATATCTCACCATTCAATATGCATAGGGATTTGCACCGCTATATTAGCATGCTTGCATTCTTTGTTATAGTTCGCTCTATGTTTTCTTGTATAAGTAGTATAAGGAGATATTGTCTGCGCAGACTGTCCCTCTCCTACCCCACTCCTCCCTATGCTCTCGTGCCAACCCCCAACAACCAACAACGACTCATTAACTTGTGAATCACATGCATGTAGATTTTGTTGATCTCAGAGTTTTGAATCATGCAACACATCTAATATTCAGTTTGTCCCAAGTTTTCTAAATGCAATATTATTTGAACTCTAAAAATATCTTTCACAAGTTTCTGGTTTTGTACCAGTTTTAAAATTGTATATCGTTTCAAATTTGAAAATAATTTATGTTTAATGCATTTGAATAATTTCCAAGGTTTAGGAAATGTGAAATCAAATATATTTCCATTAAGTTATGTCTCTTCAATAAACTAAGAATCTTGTCATGGGATAATTAAAGTAAATACTGGATTTCATGATTGTTAAATTTCAAATAAAAAAGAATGGTAATTCAGTATTGCAATTCTTGGAAAATTCAAGGTACAAATTTCATGAAATTATGTCTTTCATTTTTTATTTCTAGTGAAACATGAGAACTCAATGATAATAATTCTAGAAAAAATACTTATACTGATCTCAGGACTTTTTCTGCCATAAAAAAGTTATGTTTTACTGACGTTGCCTACTGATTTATTAGTGCAGATGTATGTAACCATTTATCTTCATGGTCCAGCAAAGATGAATTAATCCTAATTACATTGCATACTGCCGTTTGGTTTCATTTATTAAACCGTGGCATACCTGCGAGCTGCAACACATTTATTACGTAGTAATTATCTAACATCCTTTCTCTGCCAACACGCATGAATTAACCATGTGTGGACATAAAGTCAATGCACATTTACTTCTAGCATATTGTACCATTAACAATTCAAAAAGCAACTCGCCTTTACTTCTCTACAATGTCATGTGAGTATTAAAATTGTATTGGTTCAGTAGCAAAACTAAAAAGGATTTCAATCTGTATCCCAATGGACATCGATTGTGGTTCAGATTACAGGGAGGTGCGCCTCCGTGTGTTCTTCGTCCGCCTCCATATATCACTTAGCTAATATATGCTGCTAATCTCGTGGCACATAGTGAATCGATGGGTTCCCCGATAAAATCTGGAAGGGAAAGTTGCATGCTTAGCGACATGGTTGTTTGGAATGAACATTTTTTTCGAAACGAACATTTTGATCCATCAAAACAGCAGTTCGATGTGACATTTACATTGTGATCTTGTCAAGTTGTTTTTTTAAGGAAGCCTCTTGGCGCACTTTATTGATGATTAAAAAGGATTACATCGCTCAATACGCCACTTCTAGTAAAACTTCTGCTCCGAGTTGCAAGCTACTCCCTCCGTGAAGAAATATAAAAGCGTTTAGATTATTATTTTAGTGATCTTTACACTCTTATATTTCTTTGTAGAGGGAGTACAACGTTGTACAACCTCACTCACAGTCATTGAATCATTCGTTCTTCGCAACCGTTGGATGCCAATCTGGGGGCAGTGAGCTGTCTTGCTGGTTTGTTTCCTGAATGTGTTTTTTTTTCTTCCTGAAGAACGCATTGCCGCGTTTGATTGTACGTACATATTTGGACTGTACCTCACCATGTTTCGTTGTAACTTGTAGTCCGTCCATTCCCGCGTAAAGGCTGGGCGGATACGCCATGTACGCAGTCCAACTTAACCGCGTACAGGCCGGAGCTCACCGTGAGCTTGATCAGAATAATATCTTCTTCACCGAGTAGCCAATTGACTGTGACCGCAACGAAAAGCCCGCCGAGTCCACGGCTCCACGGCATCCGCTGGCCGCAACAAACCTCCAGCCAGGCTGTGCTGCCCCCACTCCCGCCTACACGACACCGCTCCCTCTGCCTCCCCGCTGCGTCTCCCTCTGCCGCTCCGCTATATATGCCATTGCCGTCTCCGGCAGCAAGCACCCCACGCATTACATTTACATTACCACACCAACAGCGCAAACAAGAGAAGCGCAGGAAGAACCAGACAGAAGCTAGCGCTAGCAGCAGCACACACGCGACGACCAAGAGACATACAGGGGCGTACGGCGGGGAAATGGGCCTGTGTGTCTCATACGACGCTGCGCCCGACGGCCCGGCGACAGCCAGGGTGGTTCTCCCCAGCGGCGAGCTCCGGGAGTACTCGCCGCCCGCAACGGCGGCGCTCGCGTTGGAGGAGGTCGGCGAGAAGGGGTGGTTCCTGTGCGACGCCGACAGGATGGGGTTCGAGGGCTCCGTCGCGGCGGTGGCCGGCGGCGAGGAACTCCAGCCGGGGCAGATCTACTTCGTGCTCCCGAGCGAGATGCTGCGCCGCCGCCTCGCCCCCGAGGAGGTGGCCTCGCTCGCCGTCAAGGCCAGCGCCGCCCTCGTCAGGGCCTCCACCGTGTCGTCAGCCGGCGGCCGGCGCCGGCGGGGCTCCGTGGCGCCGCTCGTGTTCGCGCCGTCCGACGAGGACTACTCGGCCGAGGATGCCTTCACCTTGGCGACGTTCGCTGCGAAGCCGACGGTGGCGCAGAAGCGGAGGGTGGCGTACCGAGGCGGCAGGTCGCCGCCGAGGTTCTCGCCCGACTTAACCGCCATCTCCGAGAGCGAGTAGAGGACTAGAGGTGCATGGTACACGAGACTGCCAAAAAAAAGGGGCGCATCGTTGCACATAGCCCTGCCTCGCCTGGCCACGACTGACGCGTGGGCCCGTCCGCTGATGCTAGATCGGACGGCGGGGACGCGGAGATGGGCGCGGCAAATGTTTGATATGTGGATGTGTGCAGCTAGTTTCTGAGAGTGTGGGGTGGCCGTGGTAGAAATAGTCGCGTCTTCGGCGTTGTTAATTTAAACGTCAGAAGCACGAGGAAATGCACATACAGATATGCATGTCAATGTAATGTAAATACTGCACCCGCATCAAAAATGTAGATAATGTATAAATGATTGGAGTATGTATGCTCGGTCACTGGCCTGAATTCCTTGCAATAATTCATGCCTCTCTCATATTACCTTGCTGGAATTCGTGTCCCTATGTAAGTTTTTCTTTTTGGAAAAGGAACTCACTGCTATCTATCATCAGCTCACCAGGAAGCGAAAGAATTCGCGGGAAACGCGGGTGGATTCGAGTGTGTGGGTTAGGCTGCTCACATAAAGGAAAGAGAAGACGAGGTCGAAATTGTCCGGACAGTAATAAAAGCAAGTTAGGGTTCGTCACCAGCGGGAAATCAGTCCTCGTTTGGACGGATCGACAGTCCAGCGGAGCAGAGAAGCTGTGGATGAGGAGGACGACGGTGGTGACCGTGGAGTGAGACGAGAATCCCTTGCAGGCGGCGTTCCTCTGTGGGAGGAGTCCTGGACCCGGGGGCGGGTGCTCGGCCGACGGAGTGGAGCGCGATGACCGTCATATCCCTATGTAAGTTATATAGCATATATGATTTTGGAAATATATTGCAGAAATTGGGGCATCTCTCGCTGAAATTTGGGAACCTACACAATTTTTATGGAGTCATATACGTCTTCAGAAATACATTGCAAGAATTTGGGCCGCCTCCGCAAATTTGTGGTGTCGTGCTTTCCCCGACTCCGTGCTTTGGCGCGGTTTTCGGGCCGAGCACCATCTTGTTGCCGGGGGAAGTTCCCTACTCTCTTGACTCGTATCAGAGGGTTTGAGGATTGGATTTGGCTGTGTATAGTTGCTTCGGTCCTGGATTCCTTGCATTGCTTGATCCAGCCATGTTTCTTTTGAGCGACAGGTGGACTGAGGTTTCATTTGCTCGTCGCTATACCCAGTGGGCTTCTTCTCGTTTTTCCGGTAAGGGTGGCATGCACTGCGTTGCAAATCGAGCAGACCGGCAATGGAGTCATGACGTCATGTTATGTCGTGCTCTCTCTTCTCCAGTTGGTAATGAAGATCTGTCCAGCCGCAACCCAAAAGTGTAAAGGTTTGCTCATACACCTTCCACAATTTCTGCCAATTCTTTTCATGGTGCTATTGAGCAGCCAGTCGCCCTCCTTGTTACTACTACCGTCCGAAGCCAACCATGACGACCCAATATTCTCTTCTTCAGTACGTAGATTACACTACACATGTATTTTAAGCTGTAGCCATATAGTACTTCCTCCGTTCCATATTACTCGTTGCTGATTTAGTACAACTTTGTACTAAATCAGCAACGAGTAATATGGAACGGAGGGAGTAGTAGGCTTTACTTTGAAACAGGTCTTTATCGAAAAAGAAAACCCAGAGATACAAACAAACATATACAGCCACACCATTGGCTCGTGCCGGTTCTAGGAATAACCCTAGCAAAGGGCCACACAAGCTTGTCGTCTACCTACAACTTGAACGCATATTGCAGGCCATGGTACCTAGCAAAGGCCCTCTCTCTCTCACACACACACACGGTGGCATCCCCATTTGTTGGCCGGCTTTCCAGCCTGGGCGATGTCCTTTGATTCCGCCAAGTGATTATCACAGATCGGTTGCAAGTTGCCACCACAGCGAGGACAATTGGATGCATGATGTTGGATTCATGCACACCTGAAAGAATTGTTGGTTTCATGCATGTTAGCAACACTTGCACTGCACCTTGGCATGCGCTTTTTGCCTTGCTGGTAGCCTGGTAGTAGTGCTGCCCCATGCATGGCCCCAGACTGCCCCCCTCTTGGACATTGGATACATCCAAATGGGTGTGATTTAAATTGATTTGATTCACAGCTCTACTACGCTGGAACGTAACTACTGAGTGCGATCGTGCATTTTGGTCGCTGCTGGTGGGCGTCCTAGTTAATAATTCGACGATACTTGGTATCTCACATAAACTGTTTTCTTTGGTTAGCACGAAGGAGATGATTGAGACCTACGCATGACAAAGGGATCACACAATCGAGGATAGTAAGATTCTCTGCAAAACTATTGTTTTCTAACGAACATGTCGATTTGCAAGCTCGTTAATATTTGCACGTACTGTTGAAAGCGGTTGTTCAATTTGCATATCTGGATGTGTGCTGGATGTGCTGGTCCACGAACGCAATCATGCATTTCTTCGCTACATTTCTAGATTTTTGGGTGTGCAAAACGTTTATAGCCAGGCAGGCAGTACACCTTCAAAAACTAATGGATGGAGCATGTCCACCAGGTCAACCATATCTAGATGCACATCTGAAAGGCGGGTCCGTAACATGATGAAAACATAACATCTTTCATACGCGTTCTTGGAGAGAATCGCCGTTGCGTATATGCCAATGGTGTCACTGGAAGCAGAACAAGCACTTCCCTGTTAGCATCATGTGTGTCTCTTCGCTCTAGTTCACAGCACGGTAAAAACAAGAGTTCATTACTAGGAATCTCAGTAATCAATACTGCCTGACTAATTAACTATCTGAAGCAGTAACTAAGATCTTTACAACAGGCCAAGGAGCTAACCAACCTAGTAATCAAGAAACAAGAAAAAACAGCTACAAAACATCATATAGAACTGTATTTGTTGAAACTGCATTAATCTGGCGGAGCAATTCAATCAACTCGACGATGGAAATGTGTGATGATATCATCTCGGCTACTTGCTTAAGTTAGTGTGTATATTTTTTTTGGAGTAGCAGTAGTTGAAATACAGACAAGATTGGCTCGACAAAACGATTCTTTGTTTGCATAAACTAGAACTTTCTGCAGTGCTAGCAGAGTACCAAACTAGGAACATGTCATTTCTTCCTCATGGCCTCTCTTTCATATGCTGTCTCCTACTCTTGTCTTTTATATACTACTTCGATTTGGCCATTTAGTCAGCACAACAGATTTGAAAATGATCCTAATCGGAGACGAATGCCTGAAGCTTCCACGGCTGACCACACACCAAAACGCGCGCATTTTAATGAACACATTCTATTTTGAAGGTCTAGATCGGCATCTTGCTTCGTCCTTGTCATTGCCTGCTCAAACCCGCAAGGGCCAGGTGGATGTGGTTCGAGGCCACTCTGTGATCTGACAAACAAAATAAGATTGTCTAGCAATATTAATTTGGTGGTTTTACTAGCTGTAAATACAAACATAGGGAAATTACCTCACAGTTTAGAGCAGATATCATAAAACATTAACTTTTTTTGCAATAATCGTAAAACCATAACTATTGTGGCTAGGGTGTCACAGACCACAACTATAGTAGAGTTTTTGTAGATGCAAAAAAATTCTGGCACGTGTCTAGTGGGGTTCAAGGCAGTCTGACGGAGGCGAATCAATTTTTTTTCCATGTAGCGGACCAACTATTGGGTTTGTAGTGTTAGAAATAGTGTCAAACATCTTAATCTAAAATATTTAGATTCTGTGAAATTACTTGCCTTAAAATTTGTGATTTTATGATAATTCTATTAAAAACTTATGATTTTGTGAAATGGCCATAATATATGTGGTGTCTTGACATTCATCGTAACAAGCATTACATACTTTTGTGCGGGAAAAACCATCAATCTATTCATCATAATTTTGTGCCGTATGAGCCGCTTGTTGTGTTTTTTGTTTTTTATCTAGGGCTTATTGAGTTGTGCTCTCAGCAGAATCCCGTCTGGACGTGCGTGTGCTACCGCGTGTGTTTGTGCGTGTATGTGCAACGTGAACCTTGTTGATTTGTTGGACCTTGTGGCTCTGGTGGTTGCTTTATACATAAAGCGGGGCGAAAGCCTTTTTCGGATAGTAGAAAGAACATCAGAACAAAAATTACATCCATGTCCATAGATCACATAGCGACGGCTACAAGCACTGGAACGAGCAGAAGGTGCGCCACCATCTCCACCCCTCCCTCATTGGAGTCGAGCAAATCTCCTTGTAGTAGACGGTTGGAAAGTCATTGTGCTAAGACCCCCAAAGAACAGTGCACCAGAACAACAACCGTCCTCATGAAGAGAAGCGTAGATCGTAAGGATCCAACCCATAGACACACGAACGCAGACGACAAAGACCGAATCTACGAAAGATAAACACCAACCAAATCTCACGAGATCCGCCAGAGACACGTCTCCACACGCCCTTCGACGACATTGAACTCACTACCGGGGCAGGAGCAAGACAGGGAGAACCTCATTTCATCTTCAAGGAGCCGTCGCCGGCTCGCCTCCTAAGAGGATACAAACCCTAAACAAATTCTAAAAAACACCAAAAAGAGAAGCAGGAGTCCTCTAGCCGGCAAGGACCAGAATCCACCGTGCCCCTTGGCCCTAAGGCCACAGAAGGAGGTAGATCGGCGGTGGAGCCGGCGGGATACTAGGAAACCCTAGTTAGGAATAGTGTCAAACATTCTAATAGAAAAATGGATCCTGTGAAACAACTTGATAATTTTTGAAGTTATGGTTTTGCGAAACCCTAGCGATAATAGTTGGGATGTAGTGATATTTGCTCCGTGTTAAGCACACTCATCGTAACAAACATGACATCTAGTTAGGTTGATAAAATATTCTAAAGAGACAAAAAAAAGTAGAACAAATACTACGCACCCTCCAGACAGGTTTGACACAATGCATCTAGCACCGTTGAGTTGTCAAGTCAACCCATTTGATGCCACTGGCCTGTATTCTATTTCCAGCCGTACTAAACTTGCACGGTACTAGCACCATTTTCCCGAG